TTTAAAAGACATGTAGCTGTAGCACTGAGGGACGTGGTTTAGTGTGGAGTTGGCAGTGTTAGGTTAACAGTTGGACTCACTGATCTTAAGGACTTTTTCCAACCTAAATGATTCCATGGTTCTATATGGCCTTCTTTGATCCTATATGAAATACAATTGAGATTGACGTCACTAGAAAGTACCAAGCAGCAAGCCGTGCTGCTTTGATTAGTATAATTGCTTATGGTTCTGTCTAATCATTCCAGTATTTCTTCCATTATGGAGTCATATTCACTTGTCTTAGAGAAGCTAGAAGTAACTGTGTTCAGTTCACGTTCTTCTACTGCACGTCCCTTATTTGGTTTCTCAAACAGCATTTGTGACCCAATATCTGTTTTCAAAGATTTTTGCCATTTTTCAAAGAATGCACAAAAATAGTGAGCTTGATGAATTAATTTAGCTGGGGGGAATGCCGTGATCTCCTGGGTATATCTTGTTCTCAGCTTTCCCAAATGTGTTCCCTCTTTTGATTTATTTTTATGAGAGCTGAAAGAGGGGCTGCCGTGTTCTTTCCCAAGTGATTCTGCATCCGTGCAGCAGAGGAAAGAGCCTTACTATCTTATACTACCCAACTCTTGCTTGTTCCTTTCAAGAAGCAATATGGTAGTAAATGAGTCTTATATTTTCAAAACTAGCAGGAAAAGAGTTATCCACTTTCCTCGAGCTAGAGGAAAGGTCACAGATGTCTGCCTTAGCAATAGGTGCCTCAAAGCAGCAGATGTGGACAAGCTTAAAAGGTGTATGACGTGGATTCTTGTTTGAGAAGAATCGAGGGATGGAGGGGGACCCTAAGTACGTAATAGTCAGAAATATTTAATTTGCACAATTATGAACATGTGCTACTGGGTAGAACATTATTCTGTGTTGAGACAAGAAAGATGCTTGTTTGTTTTTGCCATTTGTACTGATACCAGTTCACCTATTTCTTTTCTATTTCTTCTAGAAAGTTTTGCAAATATTTTAGTATTTATTCTGATCATTATGAGAAAAAAAAAAAAAAAAAAATTGCTGGTACAGTATGGCTGAAATGTGTGAAATTAACTCTCTGTCACCAGAAGGGCAGGAGGTGGTTTTCTGTATGAAGTATAGAAAGAAGATATTTTTTACTTGGAGTATCTGTGAAAGCAAACCTTCTGGTGTAATCAAGTCTGTCACAGATTTGTACTTTTCACCCTCACAACTGACGCCTAAAAAAAACATGTCTTGAGTTCCACCTTTTCTCTACTTTCTACCTTTGTAGCTGAGTTCTTTATACGCAGTTTAACAAATTTTAGTCTTCCTTTATCTATCAGCCTACCCCACTGTTTGCCATATCTCTGAAGGACTTTGGGATTTTTCTGTTGAGTGTGCGAGATAACAATATTCACCCAGATGTATTCATTATAAAACACAAATAATTTATATTAATCAAGCCATATTAAGGTTCAAGTTGATTGTTTATATGGTTTGCTGATGGCAGCACCTTTGTGTTATAGGGAGTCTCATGCTTTTACAGTACAAGTTTAGCCATAAGAAGCAAAGCAGAGGTGTTCTATCCTAGAAAAGCTGCAAATGAGAACCTATAAAACAATAGAGGTACCTTTGAAGCTTGATACACATATGGAACAGAGACCATGTAACCTATGGATTAGTAAAAGGAATATAAAATACCATTTTTCTTTTTCTTGATTTAACACCAATGTCAAACAGCCAGTGACATGACGTGATGAAATAATCATTAATCAGTATTTTTCAGAGCTATTCTATGAGGAGGTTTAGCTGTCAAAAAAAAAAAAAAAAAAAAAAGGACAATGAAACAGGATACTAGAAGAGTCATTCAATTTTTTCATAGTGGGAAATCAATAACAGGTAGAAAAGTTGACACCTTTAATCCTGCATGACAAAGCATGATAGATCGTTACCTTGGTATAATGAACTCTAGTGTCAGTACAGTTTTTATTTGTAAAATAAGAGCCATAGTTTTTTGTTGCTGTTGTTGCCATGCTATCTTTATCCATTTTCCTCACATAAAAGATACCATTTTACTTTACTTAATCCAAAAGAGAATCACTTGAATATTATCCAGCATTTTACAATAGATTTTACTGTCTTATCTCCTGTCTACCTTTGTCAGCTTTGTCAAATATTTCCTCAGATGGTTGGGAGTTTTTCCATTCATAAATCTCCTGTGATCGGCAGCGTCCAAACTTCTGTCTTTTTTTGCATAAACAAAGTGATGTTAACAAGTCAATGGACAAAGCCCAGTGCTTTCAATGATTCGACTAGGATGAAGTTGTTAAGTGTTGACACCTTGTTACCTTCTTTCCTAGGCAGATATTTACATGCCAGGGTAATCCAACATAGCACAAAATGAGTAATGCAGAGATTCAGAACAGATAATCATCAAGGCTATAAATTTACAGAGAATTCAAAACACTAAACACAGTGAGGGATTATGTACTCTTTCACAAGGAACAATTTCTAAACTGTGACAGAGAATAAATTCAAGTTCGGGGATTAATTATTTGATTAGTTAATAATTGCTATTTGAATAATTTGCTATTTGAATTTTGCTATTGAAATTTGAATAATTGCTATTACTATTTGAATAATTAATAATAATTTCTGGAAAATGCAATGAAAATCCATTGAATGGTACTGTAAGAAGATAAACACCATCATTTTGAATTTAAACTGCATGGAGGTCAGCCCCTTTAAGCATACAGTTTGGCTAAGGGATTGTTTGTTTTTTCCATTTATGTTTCATTTTTCCATATTGTTGTCTTTTACCAGGTGTCTGGGTAGTTGCTCAGATTGTTAGATAACTGCTCTGAGGGGAGCCTCACTTGTCTGTGATTTCTTTTTTGCAGAAAGGCACTTTAGACACTAACTACTACACATATTCTGTTTGCTTAACTTTATAGCATGAGCCTGTGTAAGATTTTTGGGTTTTGCTACTTGTTTTTGGGCACAACAGATTAAACATAATGTTCTGAACACAAGCACAGAACAGCAGAGATCTTTACAAAATGCAAGTGTGAATTCACCCCAGGATTGAAATGTAGCCTTACTTGGTACCTATATGTAGGTAGGATAGGGACCTAAAGCAAAAGTCTCTTTTAGCATGTGCATAGGTTATACAGTTGCAGATAAAAGCAAATCAACTTTTCAAAATCATATGGTAATTGTTAGCTGGAATATATGACTTTCTGTGCAGGATGCTTCTGACAGCAAAGATGATTCTGTGCATATGGGAATAACAGAATATTTAATTATAATTAATTACATATATTTTAATTATATAATTAATTATAATTTCCTCCAGGTATTGCTCCTGCATTTCAGTTTTCAAGAGTTGTAAATATTTTCAAGGGTTTAACATGTGAAAGTTCTTTCAGAAGAGATTTCTTATGAAACTGAAGTACGTGATTCAATTTCAGGTGATTCCCTTAGTCCAGGAGAAAACTGAGGACAAAAATAAGATGTTGTGTAATAATATATTCCTTATTAATCTGAGAAAGTTGCATTAAAGATTTATAGTTTGTCTATGAAAATAGCTTGGAAAAACAGTTGTATGTTTCAGAAGTGGCTATATGCTGTCTGAACAAGCATCACGTCAGAGTTAACGAAGTTTGTATAGAGTATTTCAAGTGCTCTAAGATAGCAATGAAACTTAAAATATCATTTGTATTGGAATTTATATCTTTTTTTGGTGAGAGCATCCACTAAGTCAAATGCTAGCTATAATTATGAAGTGTCATTCATTTTTGAAAGTCCTTAAAAAATTAAATTAGCAGGCCCTTGCAGAATAGCACTTCACTGATGCTTTGGGAGTGCGAAGAGCACAAGGTAACATGCTGTGCTTATGATACTTTTCTCCATTTCCAATGTACTGGAAACTGAACAAATTGCATTCTAGAGTAATTTAAAACCCTCTCCATTGTATGCTCCTGGGAAGAAGTTGATCTTGTACAAGAAATCTGAGTTGGCACCCTGCAACCTGTTACAAAAGCAGTAGATCAGTTGGGCTTATACTGGAAGAAGTGGTGGTGGCAGAAATTGTCCCTTGGGTGCACTGGAGGGACTGGTAAGGCAACATGAGTCTATAAATGTGTGTAAATGGAGCTGCTGTAGCACACAGAGCTGAGGAACAGGAGACAGGTAGAGTCTTCCAGCTGCCCTGGCTGTCTCTCATCAGCATCTTGCTACCCTTTCCCTCAGTACTGCTGGGATGAAGTCCCTGTATTCTGTGAAATTACTTCCTATAAAGCACAGGCTTAGTAGAACCACATCTGTGTATCTAAACTTCAGACTGACAGGTTCTCAACAGTACCTCCAATTTTTTTGGACCGGGCTGACAACTCTTCCAAAAGATTCACAATGACAGCTTTATGTCGTCTTAGTCATCCTTCAGCAAAACCGCGTCACAGATTGATCTTACTTTCCTTGTTCTTTGATCCTTGATCAGTTTACATCTAGTAATTGCTTTAAAATTGAATACATTTTAAAATATATAATTCTGACTTTGTATAAAGAGGACTTATCTATCTGGGTCTAAAATTTCAGCACAAATTAATATAATCCGTATCTGCATAGCTTATCTGGTATATTGCTATAATAAATTAATTTCTAGTGCAAAGCAAGACAATCCTTTTTAATAGCGGCCTTAGGTGATTTGTCTTGTATGATTAGCATTTCCATCTTATTCCTAGGATGCATGGGGAGGAATTACCTGGTTGGTTTATATCAAAGTAAATTTTAATTAGCTGACGATAGAAATGTTTCTTGCCAAGTTAACAAGTACTTAATATACTATTGTAATTGCATGTCCAGTGAACTAATAAGTATTTATCACTTGATAATCACATTCAAATGCAAGTAAGTATTTATAAAAGCATAATCTCAATGATCTTTAAACATCAAGAGCATACATTACAGTAAGCATGTTCTTTTTGTTTCTATTTAGTCATCGGGGACTCTTTGGAAGATCATGTTTCTGGAGCTGGGGTCACGTGCCCCCTGGGCTACTTTCCGTGTGGCAATATCACAAAGTGTTTGCCCCAACAGCTTCACTGTAATGGTGAGGATGACTGCGGGAACCGGGCCGACGAAGACAACTGTGGTACGTGGCTGAGACTTTTCTTTGTGTCTAGCAACCGCAGTCACTGAAACCCATGCACCGCTCACACTAAGCAGAGAGTTTCGGAGTGTTAAAAATAAGAAGGGTAAATGTTTTGCAGAGGATACAGCAGGTGTTTGGATTTGCTAATAAGGAAGGACCACGTTTTTATTTGTGTATGGTATCAATTCATCAAATTTTATCCCTGCTTTGAACTTGTTTGCATGTGTTGTTTTGTTGTATACAAATGGATGGACGTGAACTAGCAAAAATCTCTGCTGAGGAAAGGTAGATGTATGCGCTGACAGAGTTTATATTAAGCTTAATGTGACTTTTAAAGCTGGTTGGGAAATGCAATTAAGAAGAATTTTCAAGTTTTTTCAGCAATTTTTTATATCCTAGCTCAGGAGAAAAACCGTGACTATATGAGTGTTCTGTACAAGCTGCACTGCTACCAGGTTTTGGGGTTTGGAAATGTCAAAGTCTGAGGGAATACACATTGTGAGGCCACTGCTGCTTGCTATTGTTATCCTTGTCACTCCTGACCCCACTGGGTGGTACTCTGGTGAGCTTGTCTTGGTTTTGTAGGCTTTACCCCAGCTGCAAACTGAGTAGGGCCAGGGCATAGGCTTTGCGCTAGCACTGACCTGACCGCACTGCTTATCTGCGAGCGGGGCCCTGGCACAGCTTTAATCTGTGCTGAGCAGCATCTCTCACGCAGTGCCTGGACACAGCTCGGAGGGTGGCACAGATGTGGGATAGTCTGGGAAAGGCCTCCCTATATTTTGTGAGAGGAGGGCTCAGCCATTTCGTTGTGAGCGATGACCACCGGGAGAGAACATCTGCCCTCGCACATTTTATTTACTGGTCTTGTCAGGTTGCTAACAGCCTGGATAGTTTCAGAGCTACTCTCCCAAGCTGCTGATGCACAGCAGATGGGGAAACTAGACTTCCTATTCCTTACTAGCTTGCCTGTAGCCATGGAGGGCAGCCAGATGTGTGGCACCCTGCCTCGCACACTGCATACAGCTCCCCGCAGCCGAGCAGGTGAACCCTCTGCCTGTCCCAGCCAGGCACCCTGCCATCAGAGCCGGGGCAGGGGGGGCAAGGATTAAAATATCAAGTGAAACTTCCAAGCTATATATACAAAAATAAATTTTCTGAAAGAAATGTCAAAGAAGATATGGTAAAGGTGTTTTTCACAAGCGTTCTCAGCAAAGTCAGTGAGGTTTTGAAAATAGTTGTTCTCACTGTATATCTGTGGAGCTGATTTTTATACCTATATGTAGTACATTATTCTTATGCCTATTGAATTTCAGTGTTTTACTCCATATGAAAATCACTTTTAATTCTAATCCCATCTAATGGACCTGCAGCATTTTCTAGTTTTATGTCCTTTACTGTTGCCATAAACATACTTTCTGTTGCCAGTAATCAAAATCCTGAACAAAATTGGCTCTTGTTCTATTCTTCTTCTGTAATTGTCTTGCCCTGCAGTGGCAGAAATTGCTGACGGTGGTGCCTTTTTATGTGTAAGAGGTCCAAGCACCATAAACCATTGGTTTATCCATGATTCATTTCTGTATAGTACCCGAAAGTCTATGTGCTACAACTTGCTGAAACTGTACAGCTTGATCAAATGACAATTTGACAATTAGGATATACACAGTTTTGTAATGGGATATACAAGACAGTATAGCCTGCAAGACGATTCAGCTGCGATATTGAATCCTCTTCTGGGTGTAGTAATTCCAGAAATGAGGCTTCATTTCTGAAAGCCTAAATTAAAAAAGATGAAGAGTTATTATATTGACTTACTGGGAAACCTACGCTATTAGTGTTTCTCTCATATCTTGACCTCATATTCTCATTTAGAAATGTATGACATGTATAACATGTTACGGTCATATTCAGCTGTTATGTTTTCTCAGAAATGGTTGTTGCAGCCAAACTTTGTTGTTCCAATAAAGGAAGACTCACTTCCTTGCCTGAGAATATGGGATGTCCTGATGAGATTTTCTGCAATGCCCCAATGCTGTACTGAGTGTGGGGATCTTTGTGGAATAGCTCTTTTTTGTGACCGTTCATCTTGCTTAAAATCCAAGACAGGAAACCTCATTGATTAGCTCCCAAGACAAAGAAACCATTTGGCTATTATTTTTTGCTGCAGTTTCCCAGGACCACTTCAGTATGCCTGCCTTATGCCAGCAGTTATATCTGGTTCCGTCTACCCAATTTCTATATTTACAACTAGTTTTTAGTTGATATCATTGCTCCTGGTTACAGAAAAGCAATTCAATATGAAATTATTCCAGTGTACTAATTGTTTCATGCAGTAACATCAGAAATTTTAATCTTATCTACAAGGTACTCTACATAGCTCAACTTTTAAATTCTTGCACACTTTCGTCTTGCATACATTTGAATAAGAGCTTTGAGGTGGCCACTCTACAACATTCAACCCAACAAGGGTGGGGAGGGGAAAAATCAGTGTAGAACCTCAAAGGAATTAAGAATTTTCTTTTCTTTCTTTTTTTTTTTTTTTTTTTTTTTTTTAATGCATGTATCACAAACACAGCTAGTTAAAGCAACTGCTTTACTAATGATTTCTTTGGTAATGGTAAAGTCCTATCTTAAGCCTACAAAAAAATGTTATAGTGAAGACTTGCATATATCTTATGTACAAGCCAGTTCTATAACATAAAGAAACACAAAGCAAAAATTTGTCATGGACAGTAGTTCTTTCTGTGATGAAAAGGAAAATACTGATGAAGAAGAAAAGAAAAATAAAAAAGAAAGAAAGAAAAAACCCCAAACATTTATTTTGGAAACCATAATACTGCTGTTTGGAAAAAAACAAACAAAACAACAAAAAACCCAAACAGGTATTCTAAGCAAAAGAAAATTCCAAGTCTTTCTGTTCAATACAAGCCCCTAAGTGTGCTGAATATTAACAGCAACTGCAATTATGGAAATAGCACTTTTAAGAAACTTCAGTGAATGAAACAAGCAGAGAAGCAACTAGTATAAAAAGGACACCTAGATCTTCCAAGGGAGTTACTTTGTAGAAGTCTTTAAATGCCCTTGAAACAAAAAGTAAAAGGCATCAGTCAAAAAAGACCAACATGATAGGAGTCTCTGAAAATACTGAAGCTAGTCACTCCAACTATCTTATAGCAATTCTGTCCCTCTTTTAATGAGCAAAGTTCTCTTGTTCCCCACTTCATTCCTATTGAGATATTTATTGTTGTAATCTTTGAGATGATTTGCAGTATTAGTCCTGTTTAATGCACTGTGTGCCTGATAACAGCAAAACATGATGATAAATATTTCAAACTAAACCAAATCCTCAATGAGAGATATGTTTTCAGATGCACTGTAATCACCGTTCACATCCAGCCCAGGCAGGTAAAGATTGGCTTCATGGTGCCGCCTTCTCTTCTCTGTGTCTTCGTTCCACCATGCCCTCCATGTCCAAATAATAAGCATAAAACTAAGGTCCAGAGAAGTGAAATGACCTGAAAATAGGATCATAGGCAGAGTTGGAAACAGACTGTAGGTCCCAGACTGCTGTGTTAGTGCTTAACCTCAGGGTGTGGACATCCTGCTGGTCAGCTCAGCTTCAGCATTTCTTCCACATCTGGAAAGGGGTGAACTGTAGTTAATATGTTACGGTAGAGTGAAGCCACTCATCTTTGAAAACTCACATGTCTCTGTCACCTAGTTGGGTTTCCAAAACCAATAAAATATTGTGTGTGATATCCTGATGGGGAAGAGCTTGAGGCAATGTAGTAAACTGCAATAAGAGGAGGAGGAGGACAGCAACTTATCATGCCCAAAGTGACAGGAAGCTCTTTTTGAACTATCACTAGATAAATTTAAATGTGCATGGAAAATACAATCATATCTTTTGCAATTGAAAACATAGTCCATCAAGTAGCAGTGGGTGTCTCTGCAAATTTGTCATGAATGTGATATTTTTAAATAAAAAGGATTTATTGAAAGTTTCATAATTTGTCATAAAAGCTTATGGTTTTGAGGACTTTCCTTTTCTAGGCTTGAGTATGGCAGTAAATTTTTCTCTGCTGTTCTGCCCTGTGCTCATCCTTTCTGAAGCACCGAGTTCTTAAAAAGACCAACTGCACTGTTAAACAGTTTAGCCTATATCACATTTCACTTGGAGTTATTTTTGTATCTGTTAGCAAAACTCAAAACGTGTGGGGAAAAAAAATATAGCAATTCCAGCATCCTTCTGTGCCCAGGCTTGAGTAAAGCTCAAGCTGGCAAAGCAGAGGGAGTTTGATAGTGGTTTATCCTACTAAGACTATGTTTGATTTCAAACGTAATGGCTTCAGCCTAATTTTCCCAGGAAGACCTCTTCCTGTTTGTTTACAGGTGTAAGATTTTATTCTGTAGCTACTTGACATTTAAGGAAGGGAGGTTAGAACATTCATTTGCTTCATTCCTTTTTTAAATGTGAGCGGGAAGGATAAATACTAGGCATAAGCTCAAATTCTGCTCACCTAATGCTGTGGCAGTGTTGACATGGGAATTGTTCCTAAAACAAGAGTATTTCTTGCATTGAAGACATTACTGCCACAACATTACTGTTAATGTATTCTAAACAATCTCTACCCAAAGCCCTTTGAAGCCCAATGGCATAGTAAAAGTGTCAAGTACATATTCCCAAGTACATACTCATGGAAAGAAGCATTTTGGAATCTCTGCTTTGACAATGATGCTTAAGGATAAACAAAACAAAATGAAAAAAACAACAAAAGATAAAAACAACAGTTGATTAATGCAAAACAAAAATAATAGAACAACAGTATTTGTGACGTAGCTTTTCACTGAGTCCACATGTGTTTTATTATCTTAAAGTACGTGTTTGTTTAGATGAACAAATTCTGACATGTGACAAATTGCAAAAACATATGAAAAGTTAAATCATAACATAAATGTACTCTACAAATTTGGACAGAAGGCAAGTAACGCTGCCAGTA